AGCCAACAGACCACCCTATATGATGACGATATTCCTAGTCTCACCACCCACCCCTACTACTACTTACTTCAACTTTATATGGTCCACCATGTTCTCCTTTTCCTAATCCTTTACTACTAGGCCTCTCATTAATACGGTATACAGAGCCAGTACCACCAAATCGATCATTACCACAACCTACTACTACTACTACTAAATTATAAGGTACTATAATAGGTAGCATTACCATATACAACCCTACTTATACCAAGTATATGAAGGGCTGCAGCACACATAACACATGGTTCTACTGTTACATATAGGGTACTATGTCGTATGGCATCACATGATTTATATTTATCATATATCCTGAGAGAGAGTGGTATCATCATCATTACTATTGAGATAACTCTCCTGCCCCTACTTATCAGTGGCCACAAGCTCAGCATGCCTTGTAGCATTCCTAGTATGATTGGTCTCATTACCAGCAGTAGCCAATACCACACCATTCGATACAAAGGCACATCCAACAGGTACCTCATCTGCTAATATTGGGAATAATACAGTTCGAGTTTACTACATTATTACCAGTATCGTATGCCTCTTGGGCTGCTGCTAAGGCTACTCGCATGAACCTCTTATCATCTACACTGAAGTGATCATGACTACCTTCCTCCTCCTCCTTATCATCATGCATTGGGATGAACAACTGATTACCAAAGGATTGCTATACTACATAACACAAGAGTGATGATTCATCACTGATGAAGGAAACTGAGCAGGAACAAACATCAGACGAGTAAACCACTGCTGCTGCTACTGATGTCGTTGTTGTTGTTGTTGTTGTTGCTGACAAGCATGAGATAAATGTCGTCTTAAGTCGTGGTCCTCTTTATATGCATTGATGATATCATCATCATCACTACTCAAAGGCATGGGCAATGACCCGAGTCATCCTCGAGTAAGAAGGAAAGGAGGGATATCAGCCTGTCTATATTTACTACATACTCGTCATACTACATTACTACTCATCTACTCATTTACGTCATGTTATATCCACTAGCATTGCAACCAGGTAGACAAGTGCTTGCCTTGAAGAGTAGTAGTGTAGATATATATAATAATTATTATCATCATCCACGTGGTTGATACTAGAGGGAGTCTTGTTGTTGTCATATGTAGCCTATCATGATGCTATCAGGCCTTACTGATTAACTATGAAAACATCCTTTGCAGACTATACATCATCACCAACTACCTTACCCTCGAGGAGTTAATAAAAGAGCTTTATAGTATTATACAAGTTACTAATGGAGTGGTATTATGACTACTACCTGCTATACCCAGCCTTGTCGTTGATAATAACACCTCCTTGTATACCCCATCTGTATGTACCTAACCCACCTATCAATGTGGGTCACTGCTTATACGATATCAAAGGTAGACATTATACATGAGTAAACATTAGCTGTATGACTGCAATGATCATACCACTATCAACAACCTCAGAACCCATCAGTGTGCATCGGGCTTGGATCCTTGTAATGGTATATGACATATCCTAAGATCATCACATATGCGGTACTCGACAACAGTCATCCACTTCACCATAGATAGCAGCAACACCAGCAGGAGGAGGAGGAGCAGGAAGACCTCATCTTCATTCACTATTGTCATCACATCCTATAATCATATAATGTCTCTTCTTGTCGTAGACTACTAGTACTATTGCGGTGTGTATGGTCATCTTTTGTGATCATATATTTTAGTGTATTGTTGTTGTTGTTGTTGTTGTTGTTGTTGAATAAACCCTTATGCTACTTATCTCTCTTACAAAACTGATGTATCGATGATGATGACATCTCCAAATAGATACAGCTTGGATGACACTCAAGATGATACCTCCTAATGATGATAATAGCAGTGGTAGTAGCTCTAACAACAGCAACAGCGTACTCTAGCCTCCACCACCATTCGTAAGAGGAGTGGTATGACCATCATCACCACTAGCAACATCTGACGATATATGCACAATGATGATACATATTTGGTAGAGTAGGTTTTGTACCAATATAGTTCCTCATGATACGGGTATTGAGTTCATCGAGTTCATGTTGCCTGTGTATGGGTATTGAGAGATCGGATACCTGTTGGGGAATTGGATCGACTAGATGGTACTACCACCTACTCCCGAATGACACATAAATGTTCCCATGATGACATGCTACATGTCTACCGTGATGAATATCGGCATTAAAGCCTAGATGTAGTGGTTGATGTATTAGACCTCTGTTGTTGGTACTGATATTGATATAACTACATACCACTCACCTATCCTATTATAACAATTTATTGTTTGACAATAGATTCTACCAAAGATGTCAATAACCTCAATCATCATGTCCTGTCTTCCATTACTAGAAAAGTCATCATGCCTCCCTCTACCATGATGACCACCCTTATTTCTCTCAGATCCTATGTACGTATCGATGATAGTTTCTATGAAGCTAAAGACCACGTGAGCTGAGAGCCTACTCAGTCCCGTAGCGGTTGTTTTGAACCGTCGTATTTGGCGTATCAAAGGATGAAGGATAAATAGAGCAAGAATATCATCATCAAACTAACTCAACGTCGGATAACCTTATTATTCCCTATATCATAACATGGATAACGACGAGTATGGTATGTATGGGTATATGTTAATGATAGACTATTAATAGTTGTAGTTTGGGCGGTAAAGAAAGCTATTCCTACTCTATAAGGTACAGCCTCCAGCTATCCAATCTTTATTCATATACCCACTATTCCAATCATATAACGTATAATAACGATAATACGACTGATACAATAGAGGGATAGTATTCGGTAACTGGTATGATGACCATTTCATATCCCGTACATGGCCCATAGCGTAGCTTAATCGATTACGATGGGGCGCGGCGGCGGCGGCGGCGATGGCGCGGGCGCAAGATTCATGGATGACGACGATTCGATGACAGGGATATGGATACATAGTAATATACACAAATCTAGACTTCGGCTTTCCTAAAGTAGGATGTCTGGGAGACTGACATCAATTGCATCTATTCCCCTCACTCCAAAACACCATATAAACGCTCTGAGCACTTGCACGCTGATCCCTATCGTGCGAATCAGAATTCCCGAATACGAAATACCTTTCGCGCCTTTCGAGCAATTGGATTTCCATATCGTCATTATGGGAGACGTACTCATGATTGATAGCTTAGCCGTATATTCGTATGAGGCATATTGACGTCTTTGGTATTCATTAAGGGATAATAATATTAACCGATACTAATGAGACTCAACACAATCGTCGTCTTCCTTCTTGGTCTTGTTATCGAAGTGATGATGCCTGTTGATGGATCGAATGCAATACTTGTGGATACTGATGAAATACCGATCGAGGTAGGCAGGCTATTGTTATCGAGATAGGGTATTGTTTCTTTAGCTAACAGCTGGTGAGGCTCTGGGTTGTGTTATGAAGAGAAAACCGATACCCGGAAGAGCTAGATACCCGGACCGGGGTTTCGAGATACGCATGAAGACCACCACTGATGGAGGTCTTGTGCTTTTCGAATTCACAGATTTCACCAAAAAATTGCTTATTTACAAGATGTGAGTATAAATATATGATGATCAGATCGATGACCTGTGCGTCGCCGTCTTTGTTTAGAGAACGAAGGAATGGCGGTGTAGAAATGATGGTTGAAGATGACATTTTCATTGGTAAACCAGATGATCAAGGCCAAGATTGGGAAGAATTGGCATTACGGTTCATCCCACAATCTGTGCTCATGATTGATCAGTATCCCACGCAAACTCTACAAGATTGTCGGCAAATATTGGAGACCTTAAAATCATATAATTCTGCACCTAATGAATCTCCTATTGATTGGATAAGCTCCTTCTACAATATCAAGGAAACACAGATGCGGGAGGAAATAAGAAATAGGAATAAAGCCGCAAGCAAGGAGCATAGCATATAACACATAAGGACACCCGAGTGATATCGATGTTTTTGGTGATGTCATCTACATGTGATGTATGTCGTGTCCATGTTACTCGCGTTACTAGTATAGTCAACAAATGGTAGATATAAATACCTAGGTATGGAGACCCTACTCGTAATAACACAACTCAACATCGTCACGAACCATCACACTTCATGTTACTTGAATACGACTTCAATGCTATTCCACTATCAGTGACACCACGTTTGACCAATTGTAAGAAGTATTCATCATCCATCATTGGTACAAGAGGCTTCCATCTATCCATCCTAGATGGCTTCATTATCACGGGAAATGTATCTCTATCGTCTAACACTGACTTATCACACCTAGGAATATCCTCATCATTGAATGATGTTGTTGACTGTTGTTCTTGTGGTGGTGGTAGTGGAC